AAATGTGCTAATGGCAGAGAAGGGGGGGCCTGAAGAGGGCCCTTCTGCCTGGCTGCCACCCATCTGAATGAACATCAATCAGGTGGCTGCTGGGATGTCTTGAGAGCAAGGACATGATGCCCCAAGGCTGTCACCTCTCTCCCTACTAATTCTCATCAGATCTGGAGACTCAAACCACCTAGCTTGCCCCTTCACTTGGGGATTTTCGTCCACAGATCCACTCATCTGAGAAGGTATTTTGGGAACACTGCACAAAAACCCTCTTGCAAAGCCACTCACATGTTGACCCGCCCTCTGCCTCCCAGTGCCACCACTGCTGGGTATCTACTAAGAGTCACAGAAGGCAGGAAAGGACAGAGAAGAGAAAATTGAAGAGGGAAACACTGGGAAACCATCAGATTAGGTGCTCATCATAAAAAAAAGCTCATCCACCAAGCAATCTGGTCTCCTCTCTGGAGTTAACATTGCCCAAGTACTATGTGAGTTCAGTGAGAGTTTCTGTTAGTCATGAACCTGATTTTTTTCTGAGCACCCCTTCACTGAATATGATCACAGTCCCTTAAGTCAGGAAAAACAAGCCAACTGTGCTCTCAGGTCAGGAGTGAAGGGAATGGTGATTAATCAAATCTGGGAAGCAATTACCCCCAGATCTGACACTGTGGCGGCAGAACCCATCCAGATACTACACAGGCATCATGTACATTCACATTGTTATCATAACCCAGGCTTAATCACTCCAAGTTTATACAGGGATTTGGTGGCCAGTGATTTCAGAAATTATTTTTATTTTGCCAATTTTTGTGAGCAGGCTGCTGTTTGTGTGTGAAAATGATCTTTTGCAAAACATGGATCTTCAAAATGAGCAATGGGGCTGAATGCTTGGGATCTGATTTATTTCTTTGGTCTCTGCATGGAGCTTTCAGAGTGTGGAAACTTGCACCAAAGAAGGAGGAAATTATTTGAAGGAAGTCTGCTTTCAAGTAAAAAAGGAATGATTTGCTGAATGTTTTAGATAACATAAATGTTCTCAAATTTAAGGCAAGAAAAGAAACCTTTTCTAGCAGCACAGCTGAGAGCAGGAGCCATCTCTTTGATCTCTGTCTGAACACAGTGGGGTGATGCCCATGAATTACGAGCAAATGTAACGCACTGTCATTCTTAAATAAAAACACACCAGCTAATTAAATTGAGACCCCCAGTGACCAAGTGACTGGTCTGCAGGTTTGGAAATTTCTATCCTGCAATGCTCTTCAACTTGGGGTAAGTCACTTAACCTCTGTGTTCCCAGTCCTCCTCCCCATAGCCCCTGTCTACTGATGAAAAATTAAGCATGATTTACACAGAGCAGTATGAATGTATTTTCCTCATCCCTCAGAATTTGTACTCTGCCATTTATCAGACCTGCCCTCGCTGACAGAGCACATGGTTAACCTCTTCAAGCCCTCTGTCAGCCAGGCTGCTCTCTGGGCTGGCTGCTCCAAGGGTACTTGTTGGTCATGATGGAGTCAAAGGTTTGGGGACCCAAACATTGGAGTGTGGGGCTGTCTTGGGTTGCACTGCAAGGTGTAACCAAAGTATCTACCACCATCTACATTGTCTTCTGATGGGCTGTTAAAATGAGAGGAGCAGTGTTGGGGAAGATGAAACAGGAAAGCCTTATAAATATGATTGTCTGGCAAAAGATTTTGAGAATATAGAAACTATAAGTGAGATTGAAATTAAAGCAAGTTTTGAGATCCCTTAGTTACTGAACAACTGGAAAACAATGGTGTGGCCCGACTGAAGGTAATCCCCTTTTGATGAAACAATTCCCTCTGCCTGCAGACAGGTCCAAGGGTCCGAGTAGACCCTACTAGCTTGGCAGAAGGGGTCCAAAGAGTAGTTTTTAGGGTTTAAAATGTAGCACAGTTTGGTAATGTAGTGATTCTTACAGGCGGTATGGAAATGCTATAGAATTTGTATATTGTACTAGATTGGTTAGTGAGAATCAGAATATTCAACACAGAAGATGATTTATTGTATTGTAACGGGAACTTGGCTCACTTACTTTCTATATCCTTACTCTTGCCTCTTAGCTCTTACCCCTGTTACTCTCTTATGCTTTTACTCTCTCACCCTCTCATCCTCTCTTCCCCTCTCTCCTCTCAGGCCTGCCTTGAGCTGTGGCTGGCAGCTCCCAGCAGGGCCCTGCACCCAGGCCCTTTGCCATAAACCACAAGTTCCACAACCTGGCTGCAGAGATCTCTCGTCTCTGTCCGTCCCGACCATGCTGACCCCCCCATCACTCCTACAGAGCAGTGTTTCTTCCCCTTCTCCGTGACTCAGCCCTGGTAACTCCCTCTGGGGAGGCAGTCACAGTCTGAGGGGGCCAACTCTGCTAAAGGACCATAAAGGACTCCCCAGAACGACTCCCAGAATTACATTATCCCATTGTGGAATTCCCTGCCCTGGGGGATGTACCAAACAGTCCTGCCTGTTTATAATTTGGGGCTTGGGACAC